ATATAGTTTAGTTTAGTTTAGTTTAGTATAGTATAGTATAAAAAGTATTGCATACAGAAAGTACAGAAAATACAGAAAATAATTTATAACCTCTAGAACAATTAAAACGAAAATGAAAAGTAGATCGAGCACATGTACATCTTTTAGGGTTTTAGAAACCCTAAATACACCATTACATGCTCTACCTCCCTATGACTCATCCTGGTATCATTATGACTCATGCTTGGCTCATCAGTCTGAAGGATATGTACAACGCGCGGAATACTCAACACACCGCCACCAAGAACTACCGTCTCGCCGAGTTGAATAGTAAATTTGAGAAGAAGCGCGAGGAAATCACGGAGGCTTTGGATCAGAAATTTACCAAGGTACTTGCGTGGCATATATCTATATCTATATCTATATATATCCATATATATATATATATATATTATTATTATTATTATTATTATTATATATTTTATTATGTTATATTATGTTATATTAAAATATACATCTTATATAAATATATGTATATATTATATTATATTATATTATATTGTACATTATATATATATATATATTATACATATTATACATATTATATATATACATATATTACCCCAATAGGAATAAGTTATATGTCTTACGTGTGTTCTATTTGTATAGTATACCCCAATAGGAATAGTCTCTCTGTCCCACGTGTCTCTGTCGTGACGTAATACACTACCCACTGCACAATCGGTTCCACTCACAGCACAGTATCTATTGACTGATAGTCCTAAAGTCAAAACAGAGGGTTTTAGGGTGTAGAGTTTTGCGTGCGAGCACTGCAAAGGCGCAGTATCGTTGCCTCAACAACAACAGCAGTTATATAGTATGGTGTGCGTGTACGTACGTGTGCGTGTACACTCATGTATATCTAAGGCGATGCAATGAATACTGATATTGGATGTATATGTGCTGTATATTCTATCGGAATGACAGATGCAAAACGAATGGCAAGCAAAGATCGACGCCATCAAGGAGGAGCGACAAGCAGTCCGTGAACAAACGTATGTGAAATATTCGATTTTGATTGGAGAATATTTTGCCAAAAAGATTCGGCAGCGTCGTACAAAGTTTAAAACATGTAGTCAATATAGATTTATGTATATGTGTGTATATGTATGTATGTATGTATGTATGTATGTATGTATGTATGTATGTATGTATGTATATATATATA